ATTCCTGAAAACAATAATTACTAAGATGAAAGAAAGGAGCCTTTTAACAGGATGTTTAAAGCAAAACCAAAACAGTCAACCCTTAAACGTGGGTGGTACATTCTACGATAATATTTAAGATACAAAAACAACCACCATGTCTAAAAACTCCAACAAGTCAACGATACTGAACGAGACTGCTGTAGGACCCCCGTCTTCCAAGTGTTGGGAAATCTCAGGGACTGACGCTTCTACAGGACCTGGGCCAAACCAGGTGATTTAGAAAACTCACGACTTCAAGTGCAGCCTTCAAGTGAAATAGCTACCAAACTATCCTATACTTAAATAGAATTTACATCCAACTGCGAAGTGATGTTAAACTAACCCAGCTTCCTCCACAAAAATCAATGTAAATGAGAGAAGCAGGCGAGAGGACATATCGGTTACCAGAAAACCCATTGTACACATAGAGGGTACAAATTCTGAACGATTTTAAACCCCTTTAATACAAGTTATAAACTTTTAAATACTACATTCACAAATGACGACTGCATTACCCTGAATGGTGGTTGGAGTAAGACCTAGACTGGAGTGATACCAACATCTACCACACCTTTGCCTACAGCAAAACGCCTGAAACATCCAATTCACTATCCAGACTATCTAAAAGTGGGCTCCTTGAAGTCTTTGTCTTACTTTACAAAACACTTACCGTTGATTGGACTACAGCTCTATTATATTCATACCTATTACAGGCGCCAGCCACACTTTGTATGGCACAGAACAGCGACCTAACTTATGGAGTGATGGTATTCTGGATGACGTAATCTGTGGTGGAGCACCTCTCCAGCTACTTGAGTATCAACAGTCCAGAAATATTCCAACCTCAGCCTTTCTTTTAGATGCCTGACAGAAAACGTCAGGCTATAGATTCCCTATGCTGTTCTGTACGTTGACTGCTGAGATGCTCCTGCAGAGTGGGGTTGTATTACTTTTTTGCACATTTGTGCAAATCACCACAATAGCCTTTTGTCTCCAGTCTTTCGCTGCTCATCCATCTCCCTCTACCTCATTGTAAGTTTCACCGCCAACAGCTGCTACAAGTCAACACAAACTGTCTTTTTCTGAAGGTTTCAATCCCTCTGCCCTCCACATTGTCACATCACTGCCTGTAAACCGCTTTTCAAGATCAGAGGTGTAGAGTGAAAAATAAATGCAAAATTGTTCCGTGTGCCTTTAAGGTGTATACCTGGTGCGCTGTGTCAAAGAAGGGTTTAAATAGTTGCGATGTGATTTGTCTGGCGATAACCCCTGATGTCAGGGGATAAATACCTTCTACTCCTAAATCCCCCCCAGGTGAAATGTAGCAAGTACAGGTTAATTCAATTCTGAAACGAAAGGTTGTGGAACCCTCAACAGGTATGAAGGAGGAGTGGTTGGAACGGGAAAGTAAAAGACAAGAACGGCTGGCGTTTAGGGTCAGGGTCAAGGGGAAGAGCATGGAAAACCACAACCGCTGACGCAGCGGTCAGTGGGCGACAGACGTTGCCTTCATCAGCTAGGACCTTGGTTTTTATACCCTCATCATGTGAGATTTAAGCCCCCAAGGCCATAGTATTCACCACATGCTCAAAACCCTACAGTACCATGAGGGTGTGTGGGACATCCTGCTGGGATGGCAGACAACTGCTGATGGATGTTGCAATATTAATACTGGTAACAATAATGCAAGTTAACACAAAAAAATTACTATGTGTATTTTGCAACATATACCCACCTTTCCTTAGTTTTCATAATTATGTCCGGCACTGTACATATGCACCTTATACACAGAAAATGCATGCAAACATGGACACAAAACTAACGCCAATGCTTTATTACTCACCTTCCTCCATGTGTGTTCCTATATGCCAATAATGCTACAGTCATGTCAATACACAAATAACTACAACACACGCTCTAGGTCTGACAGCAAGGCGCTACAGGGGATTCTAAGTATCTGGACCCATGTTGATGCCAGTCCCCTGGGAGCTCTTTAGAAAGCACGAATGGCCTGAAACCGCCTCACTACCAAGCATCCGAACAGTCTTCTCCTGCTTCACAAGAGCGCGAGACAGGTTGCATCTAGGACCGTCAGTGGTGTTCTCTGCAGCTGCGCTACATCCCATTCAGAAAAACACAAGCACAACAAAAGCAGCGGGAGCCTGGTTATAAAAAAAAAAAACAGTGGGAGGTTGCCTTTATTCCAGTAAACTTGTACAGAAACATAGCAACAAGTCCAAATTAAACATTATGACCGTAGAAACATTTAAACATTCAAACTGTATTGGTACAATGACGACTCTTTCAAAAGGCCGCCACCTGCACAGCCATCTGTCACATGAACGACTGAATATATATATAGATATATACATACCCATTATCAAATTCTTTTTACAGGTTGCAGAACCACAGATGTTGTAACAGCAATATATATTCACTTCTATATATATATGCTTGTGGGCAATCCCTTCTGAAATAACCTGGTTTTCATCGCTACCTGGAATAATTAATCTGAAACAGCTTGCGTTCCCGAGCGCTACCGTATTGACAATGATCACATTTGGTTTCTATAAATACGGGGATATTCCATGGTGTGACACAACATACAGTTAATACTGTGCGTTTACACGTCTTCTGGATGGCTCATGCATAGCGCGCGCCGAGGTGGAGGGCGGCAGGGGCCGGCCGGCCAGACTGGCGCGCGCCATTACTTGGTGGAGCGGCGCGTGGGCTCGGACGCCGTGGGGGGAGGAGGGGGCCCCCGGCGGTCCAGGTCCTCGATGTACGCCATGATGAGCTTGCGGCGCTCCTCGGGCACGCAGTCCAGCACCAGGTACCGCTTATCGTTCTGCAGGATCTTTTCAACGTCTTTCAGGTGCTGGTCTGACTCCTGTATCAATTTCCGGGATCTGGGCGTTTTCCGGCACGTCGGGGAGGACAACAAGACGAGAGACGACAAAAACAAACAAAAAAAACCCTTTCAACTTAGACCGACACTTTCACAGGGTGCGATAAGCCGTCGAAGTGAAACACACTTGGCAGCAGTCAGCAGGAAACGTAAGTGTAAGTGCTGCTCCGTCCGAGATTAAAATGAGGGACCCCAATTAACAAGACGCTACAGCTGCGAGATCAGAACGAGACTTTTTGCAGTACAAAAAGCAGTAAAAGCAGAAACCAAAGTTTTAAGAGGATTCACATTATCTTAGTTAATATTCCCATGTGAGAAAACGGAGATGTACTGCAGGTGTTAGGGTCTTTGCACTCCCACCCCTGATCAAGAACTATATGCCCAAATGTGTTAAGCTTGGCTGGACTACAACACACTTTGCTCTGCACACCAGAAACGTCACCCACCTGTATGTGATGAACTTTGTTTCTTTCAGAAGCGTTCTGAAGTCTGCTTTGGCTGTGATGTATTTGTCTTTGATGTAGTCTTCAAACTCCCTCTGTTTTTTCTGAAATATGAAAGAATTCAGCACATTAGGGTTTGTTTCGACACCATGACGCCTTACAAGGGAAAATGTGCGACTAGCTGTGACGCCAAGTACTGCAAGCAATGCGATGCCCACATCACAGATGACAAAGCCAGGGGCTACTGGCAGAGCTCTCGTTGGCCTTACCCGGTCGCTACTCGAAAACTTGATACAGCGAGGGTCTTCCTTAATAATCTTTTTCACTTCTTTCCACGTTGTTGTTAGCGTTATCTGAGGAGAGAAAAAAAAGAGGATACGTTTCAAATTTTTTGAAGCAACAAAACTTAAGTCAATCATGATGTGCTTGGCCCTTTCCTGCCACGTTCTAACCTCACTGACCCCAACTCACGTGGACATCATGCGCGATGTGAGCATAAAATAGCCTTAAAATGAATTCTTAATCAAACACAAGAATGGGATCTTGTCAATTCTACATGCTCTGCTTCCTTCATGACCCGTTGTAAATGAAAAATGTAATTTTTGGAAAAGAATGAAGGACAGTGCCGAGACTATAGTGTGGTCACAAATGTGTTAAGGGAGTCTTGCGCTCTGCCTTACCGACGTGGTTTCGTCCAGCAGCTGCCTGAAGTGCTCCTTCTTCTTCTTGGTGAGCGACTCGATGTGCTCGTTGAAGAGCTTCTCCTTCTCGTCCCGCTCCAGCAGGGATGCCGACTCCCAGCGATGGTCCTTTCGGAGTGTCCGCCGGGTGTCTGACCAAGAAACGTCTGAGGAGCGCACCTGCAAGAGGATAACAGGCTCCATCAAAGCCCAGGCACACACACTCCGGACGAATTTCTCTCCCAGAATAGAAACTGCATAGATGAGACAGACGAGATCCTGTCCTCTTAACTTTAAAATATTATTTCGGACCATAGGAAACTACAACTCTGAGTGTCGGGGGCTCAGGGGGGAAGGGGGAATTCAGATTTCCCTCTAGGCAGACCCTCCTAGAGGGCTAGAACCAGCAGCAACAGCCCAGCTAGAGGGCTGCTAATGGCCAGTCTCCTTCGCCCCTGCCGTCAGATAATGATGCAAATATTTCAAAGCTTCTGCAAATCAGAGGAATCTGAATGTCAGTGAGGAGTTATAAATAAATAGGGGGGAAAACATGGCAGTTTGATACTCAATTCTACAGCAATAAAAAAACTGGGGAGCCCGACTGAAGTCACTGGTTCTCGATTGAAAGGATAACGATTCAATTATAATGAGCCACAGTTTGGAACATCCATCACTGCGCCGTAATGATCAGTGACCTCTCCAACAAAGAGGTGTGGTGTGCAAGAGCTGATAATGATTATATTCTACCCTGGAAGCAAAAGAATAAGAGAAAAAGAGTAAATTAAATTTGGCATTGTCAGAAGTCACCCACGGCAATATGCACTGTATGTATAATACATTTAGCACGGGTGATTCTCTGCTGCTGGAAGGTATCCGTGAGAGCGATTTGGATGTTTATGTCGATGATTTTAGTCCTTATCAAGACAACATGGGGAAATAAAGTAAATGCTTGCATATATCCAAAAAGGTGTTCAGGTAAAATCCAGGAAAGTTAACAAGAATGTTTGCTTGTGTCGGGGGGATTGTTCATTACGGTGGTGAAAGATGATCCAAATATCCCATTCTAAGGAGTAACAAAAAACAAACAAAAGGGAAGTCGGAATAAATTTCCTTCCTCAAAGAGAAATGGATGCCTGTAACTGGTGAAGGTATAAATTTACCATGAAGATTTACTATGGTAAATAATGGCCAATTCTTGAGCTGAACCCAGGTAAAGCAGTCCTCACCATATCGGACAAGAGAGCCTTGAAGTGCTGGATGGCCTCCTCTCTCTTGTGCTGCTCTCTCTCCCGGTCAATCTCCTTGGTCTGTTCGGAGCGAGCTTTCTGCACTTCCCTCTCCCTCTCCCGAAGGCTAGCCTCGATCCGAGCCTGCCGTTCCAGCTCCTTCTCTTTGTCCGAGTCTAAATTCTGAGCCGCAAGACAAAAAAAAGCCACCGAAAAATGAACCATATGGAAAAATATTACCCACCTCCTCCCGACCTCCACAAGCTCACAGAACCCACAAGCAGTATGTATAGACCAGACGAGATGAGCTTGCACCCCATTCCACCTCTCCAGCCACTGTAAAGAGGTGATCACACACCAACAATAAAATTACATCTATAATAATGCTTCTGTCATACAGAAGCTGACAAATGTAACAGCACAAAGATGCTCTTTAAAGTAGCATCTTCAGTGCTGTCTGGATGATGTTTCAAAATTTGAACAATGTCACAGCCAAGTGAGGGGGGAGACAATGTCAATTTCAAGATGAAAAGCATATTAAAATGAGAAATGCCAACCTTAGCCTGTTTCTCCACGTACTGCTTGAATAACTCTTCCCTCATAGCCGAGCTCTCCACTGCCTTGTAACGATGATCGCTCTCCAGTTTGTCTTTCACTTTGCTCCAGCGCAGCTGACCATCAATGTGGTGGTCTGACAGCAGCTCGTAGAAATCATGCTTCACCTTTATGCATGAAGACAAAAGAGGATGGCACACAGGCAATGAGAAGGAGGAAAATAAGCTTTTCCGTGAAAACATCTGACCAGATGTACTTGTGTCTTAAATGGTGCATATAGATGAGAATAGTAAAAGAATATCTGACTTAACACCCAACCATTTTGGAACTCTCAGTTGTTTAAATCTCAGCCTTAAAAGCTACAGCTCCTGCACTGCACAGGTCAAGATTAGACCTACAGACAAGCCCATCTGCAAGAACCAGTCATCCTTTGGAGCAATGCAAGCTCCACACTGCCGCACCAGAGTGCTATCTCCAATTCAAGGAGCGGCGCGTCTTGAAACATCAATACAGGCTTGCAAGTTTCCTGGCAAGTCACAAGAGCTTGCCTGCCCTGGTGGAGCTCTGCCAGTTGGTTCGCTGTCTGGGGAAAGCCTAGTCGCAGCTGGCCAGCAACGTGACCTAGGTTCAAACCAGCAAGATTACGCTACAGCTCTCAAGGAGCACCTTTACTGGTCGAGCCATGCAGGAGTCTCCAACATCTCACCTTTAACTGGAACCTAAACTCAGCACCCACGGGTCACACAGCAGGGATGACTTAAGAGGGAAAAAAAGGGCACTTGAGAACTGAGAGGGCTGTATACCTTGGAAAAACTTAATGCATCTATAACATTTGCGATGTTAACATAATATGAATTAAGCTAGCATAACAGGACTGATCTGATTTAATCATGCCAGAGAAATCAGAAGACAAGGTACAAATCCTCAGGAATAAACCAGAGGCGAAAATGCTGGAGACTGGTTAAGCGTGTCCAGAGCTGTGTACGGCCCCTTCAGTGTATTTATACATCAACAATTTCAGTGTCGGAACGGGAGACAGTGATTAATTGTGGCTGCGAGACTTGTGGAACGCAGACCGCAGCATGTCTGTGGTGTGCAGGGCTGGGATCCAGGCTGAACAACTCTGTGTCTGGTAATGAACTCCTCCGCTGACCCCCAGCCTCCCCACTCTGCCCCCCACCTGCTCCCCCCTGCCAGGTCACCCTTGCCATTCCTCTTCAGGCGACATTTCAGACTCATTAATCTTTAACATGTGACCTTTCATTCTGAGAAGCAGTCTTTTTTTTTTACATCTGAACTGTTTACCCTCACGATTAATATGCCTGCTTAAGTGCAAGGCTTTAAACCTAGATAAAAGCTCATTTGCAGAGTGAGGCATAGAGATGTGTAGGAACGGTTATTTTTTTAAATGGAAGGTGACCACAAATTAGTTTCAAAATATCAGTATTGCAACTTGAGCAACTTTTAAGATCTTCTGACCTTAAAAGGCATAAAAGTGATTAAATGCAAGAGAAAAAAATCAAACTGTGCAATATATACACATAGTACTCCGCGTGGTACTTACGTACAACAACAAATATAAATGCATCCAATACATTTCAAGTACTAATTGCTACAGGTACCTTGAACAGGCATCAAGAGCAAAATGTTTTTTCTCAAAAGAGAACCGAACGATCTGGAGAAACAAGTACACCAAGATATACTACCAAGGACACCAAGGTATAGTACCAGCAGTGGAATTATTACTGCCAGTCACTCTTTAGAAAAATCACCCCTTACTTAATAACACCCATCAGCCAAAGAACGGGATTCTTCCTATCTGGGCCCTTCTAAGCAATAGGACTAGCAATAGGTACGTGAGCTAGACCCATCTCTTCGCAGTGAAACAGACATGGCTGCCTTCCACTCCCAAGGAAAATATTTATAAGAACAATTACAAATGAGAGGAGGCTATTCAGCCCATCAGACTCGTTTGATAGTCAGTAGTTAACTGATCTGACGATCTCATCCAGTCCTTTATTGGAAAAACCTAGATGACTGGTTTCAACCACAGGGCCGGATAGGTTATTCCACATTCCCACAATCCTTTAGGAAAAACGTGCCTCCTGTTCTGAGTTTTAAATGCACTTCTACAGTTGCCACCTGCGACGTCTGGTTAATGTTTCACCGTACATTGTGAAGACGTCTTCTGGGTAGTCTCCCAATACCCTTAAGGATTTTTAATACTTGTACCAGTTCCCCTATCCTTCAGGCTGTCACTGTAGGACATTACCTTAAACTCCTAAAAGTATCTGGTTACTCTTCACTGGACTGATTCAAAATAAATCGTATGAATTCTCTATAATATGGTTAGCATACTTGTACATTATATTCTAAATGAGGCCTTACTAGTGCCTTATAAAATTTAGCATCTTTGTTAAAAAAATAAATTATTTTAACTATATATCCTAAATTTGTTTGCCCTTTTATAGCTTTTCCCACTTCATCTAGATGTAAATGTGTTCAATACCAAAATTCTTTCATAAGTAACCTTATCTCAGGTTCTCTTTTGTTTTTTACAGTATGCAAAACCCTGCACTTGTCTACAGTAAATGCCATTAGCCAGGTATTGGTGTAGTCTTGAATTGTAGCTCAGTATTTTTGCATTTGGTGTGTTTATTAACATTTGCCAAATTTCTAATCTGCCAATTGGAGCAGCATATTAGCTGTATCAGAATCGAGATCATTCATATAAATTAGGAAGAGAACTGGTCTTGGTACAGATCCTTGTGGTACTCCACTAATGAAGCCACCACACTATCTGTACTCTTTTATCTAAATGTAGTGTTCCTTTATTTCTACCGTTTTCTATTTGACAATTCTCAATCCAACTGATTAAAATCAGATCCAAATATGGTGCTCCTGTGTGGAGAAACAGCACTCAGGCTCCATGCCAGGGTGACACATCCAGCAGTCCTATGCTGTACGGCACCTTCTCCCAGTCCGCTGTTCTCGCTCATTAACCCACGGGCACAACCGAGCGATCTCTGGGCTTACCTTCTCTCCCCGCGTTTTGGAGTCCTCCTTCTCCTTCTTTCTGAGAGCGGTCATGAACTCTATGAATATGGCCTCTCGGTCCTTCATCTTCTCGATGGCTTTAAACCGCGACTCCTTTGCATGCTTCGTTGCAAACTCACTGAAGGTCGTCCTACGGGGTTAGGAGAATGCTCATTATAAAAGCTACTGCTAGGTTCCATCTTAAGAGTGAACATATTTTGTATTGTTTTTGACACACCGCAAAACGTCTTATTTAGCTTCAAATGCTGCTAACTTTCTCTATTAAAATAACTCCTAATAACACTGGGATCTGCATCAATTCCTAAACCTCTCCCTCAGGTCTCTGATAATGGGCCACATTTGCCCTGTACAAGGCTTTCCGGTGCCTGCTCTTATTTAATGCAGCCCTCGGAAAATCCTGCACACCCCTAACTCTGCTCACCGGGGGTTCAGTTTGGCTTCCTCCATCATCCGTCTGAACTCCTCCTTGGCCTGCATGATTTTATTCTTCTTCTCCTTCCTCTCCTCCTCCGCCCTGGTCTTCACATACTGGTCAAAAACCTGCAAGGGAGGAAGACCCACAAGAGGGCAGCCGATTCCGTCAAGGGGTCCGGATTTAATCTTGTCGGCATTAGAAGATAGCAGAGGTCACAAATGAATGGAGGCCATTTGGCCCACCTTGCTCATGCTGGCATCTTAACGATCCAAGGATCTCCCCAGGCCGTCTCCCGACGGATCCAAAGTAATCCACTCTAACAGCGTGGCTGGGGAGTGTGCTCCAGACACCCACAACTCCAGCTAGCAGAGATGAGTGCTTCCATAAGTCACTTTATCATCACCCCTTTGCTTTTCCTGGACATTTTTATTTGGCATTTCCAGCAAAGTATAGCAACCTAGCACACTGCCGCCTCAGCTCCAAAATATGTAATGAAATTACAAGACAAACTCCACCAAAAGAATTCAAGGGTTGGACAAAACAGGACATTTGGTGCCACTTTGGCTTCAGTGCAGCCAAGCTTTACTCTTTACTCTTACTCTGTGAATGATACCTTATTACACTAAATGCCTTGATGCTGTATTAGTTGGCACATCATAGGTAGTTTTTGGCGTTTAAGAAAGACATACCTCCCTTTTAAAGGCAATCAGCATTCACTGCGCCTTCACTAGATCCCAATAACCTGGAACTAGAATACATTTTAGCAAAATGTTCTCATACATTCTGGATGCAGAATGTTTTCCCCATCATTAAGCATTTGTTAAAATATTTCAATACCGAATATGGAAATTGCAAACTTGTTGAAAAGAATTCCGGTTGGGAGGTTTTGTTCAACAATGGCTTAAATAACATGCAACTAAACAGACAAATCGGCTGTAAACTGCAGGACTGAAACATGCTCTGGGATCAGTATTCGGCATTGCGTCACCCGTAAAGTATTCCTTAGGGAGTGCTGAATCAAAACAGGATGCGCGATTTAAGTCGAAAATATCTTGCCTTTTTTCAATTAAATTTGGTGCATTTCGGGTTTTTATCTGGGAAACAATCTGCCAATTGTAAGTTTAAAGGGATGCCATTTGTATAAAGAATACAGGGCACTGGTACTCTAGAGACTTGGGATTTAAGTTTCATGTGAGCCCTGCTGTACACAGAAAGTGAAATGTTTGCAAGAAGACAAATCTTGGTCAGCTTCTTTTACCTGCTTCCTTTCCTTAGGATTGAGTAGTAGATATCGGGGATCAAACACAATCTTATGAAGCTCCTTTTCCCATGTTGAGAAGGCTGAAACCTGAAGCAAGTAGGGGGACAACAGAAAAATAGGTCTATAAAACAAAGATTAATTAGGTAATTATAACAGCCACTCTTTGCAGCAGGTAACCTACTTGTACTTGCAGCATGCAGAGCCCTAAGAGAAGAAGGCGGGCATGTGCGTTTCATCACTGAAGTTATCATCTCTAATAAATGACTAGCAGTGGGGAGTGTGGTTGAGCTTTATCACACTAATTGGCGCAGACTGGCGCTATGTAATTAAGCCAAAGGCTTTCTCTCCAATTACTCATTAAAATACCTACTGCAGTGTGCCATTTAAAAAAAATAACGTTAAAAAAATACAGTCAGCAGAGGCCAGGCCTTGATGTTTGGTCTTTTGATATCTAAAAATGTCTTTTTATCTCTTCTTTTAGGGGAAAAGAAAAGTAGCAACCTTTCAGCCAGGCTGTTTTTTTAACTGGGTATTAACAACCTGAAATCAAATGTCACATCAGCACAACTGCTACAATACATCACATCCAATAGAGGAAAACAAAGCCGAAACAAGTGCTGGCCCTGTTCTTCATTGTTACAATACACAAGAAACATCTAACAATCCGTTTGCACTTTTTCTTTGAGGACTGCAGACTTTTGAGGACTCCCCGTCTGGCATTATTAAATATGCAAACTGGGTACAAAAAGGGTAATGAAAAGGGGAGCGCAAAAAACACTATCAACTTTGAGTTTTGGGTTAAGGCCTCAAAAAGCCTATTGATGTGACCTGCTTTGCAATGAGATGACATGACAGAAGACATTATAACGTAAATAAGAGAAACAAAACACCGAAAATAAAGAATGAGCAAACCACAAAGGGAAACTAGCATGTTATTGTTGTGATAAGCCAAAAGTGACTAGAATTTTGTAAACACCATGGAGCAGAAGAAAATCCCATTACATAATACTTAAAAAACCATGGAGGCTGTGAAAAAAAAATAAGTTTAATAGATACCCTTGCCCAACATTGATTCTGAATTCAAGCACAGCCACCTATTAGCTGAGCAATGATAGTCAGGCCCAATGCTGAGCCTTGATATAATAAAGTGGGAAAGGCTCGCCAAAACCCTGCTAAAAAAGGATCAAAATCATCCAATGGTAGAACTACCAGTAAATCAATACTCTCGAGAAAAGACATAGGCATTGGGTAGTAACAGAATGTCACAAATCTACTTTCCAAATTCCAAAAAAACTAAATTCTCTTTTCACTTATAAAAGAAACAGAATGAAAGAAACCCAGATTAAGTGGGGAAGAAAAAAAAACAAGGTAAAATAAAATCAATACCAAAAAAGGTTATGAATATTAACTGAAGATTGTACCTTCATTGGCTTCCATTTAGATTTATGTTTTTCTAACATTACAGAGCTGGTTACACAATTGCGGTTGGATTGAAGTATTTTACCCCTCTCTCCAGCAGCATGTCCTTGAATTGTTTCATGCGGGCTTCCAGGGGCACAATGGCCCGCTCTCGGGCGGCTTTGATCTCTGCCTCCATAGCTGCCTCTTTCTCTGTGTCCGCCTCTTTCACTTCATCCTTCCTGCAACGACAGGTACACCCGTCAGCCGGGGGGGTGCAGGGCAGCTGGGGTGGGTCTGGGTCTGGAGTGAGGGGGCTGTATGGCTACTGTCCTTGCAAATGTGGAACACTTGCGAGAGTTAAAACCAAACTGAAGTTTTCACAGGACGGGGGGTACTGTAGAAATGACACTCGATTTTGAAAAATTACCAGAGGCCGGGAATTTAATCCAAAAGCAATATCTGGTTTTCGACAAATCAGTCATCAGGTTTTGGGTGAAACAAACTGGCACCAGAAACTGTAAACACAACACCAGTATGTTGAGTAAAACTATTCCCCTTGAACGGCCACGGTAACTCATCACTTATGACCAAGAACAACCCTCAGTAATATTACTCCTTTGGCACCCAAATCAAGCAAAGAATTTCTTCACACAAGAGCAGGCATTACCTTAGAGGCCCAGGCTGGTCAGATCAGATCTATAGGCGTTACCTGTAAAATATCACCCGTGCAGCAAGAACACTGTTTGGGGGAAGAAAAATGTGCTAGCTTGTAGGCTCAAAAGGCACTGGAAACTGTAACAGCTTGGGAGACCTAAACATTAGGGACTTAAAGAACACATGGTCCCCTTGAGTGGAATGTCAAAGACCGATCAATTCGAACTCGCTTAACCATCCAAGGCTTGACGCCAAAGTGATCAGAATAGGCACAGACCAGTCGATCAATCAGATCTTGTTTTGCAGTAGGTACGCTTCCTGTTCAGCTGCATCTTTTCAACCCGTCAGCCCACTAAAACACGGAACTACCAAGAACAGGTTTTCATCTCAGGACAATGAATTCTTAAATGGCTGTTTCTTTGAGGTGCAGAACCGCCAAATATTTCATGTTACTCACTTTACGATTCATGCAACAAGAACATTTTGACATGCACCTTAACAAAAATGTTTTAGGGTTAAAAAAATCCCAAGAAACAAGGCGGGTCTTGAACTTTGTGCTTAGCAGGTTCCACACAAAGATGTGTCTTGGGTGAAGACACTAGATTAATTCATTTAGGAAATATAACTCTCCCACTGCCTGGTATACTTACTTCCTCTTCTTTGCCTTTACAGGTTCATCATCCATCGCTTCCTCTGCTGCAGATTCCAGCTCCTCCTTACTAAGCCCTGCAGTGAATTTAACAAGTCAAGTTTAGCTTTATTCACAGACAACAGGCGGCACTGAAGGACCTGGGATGACAAGGCAGTCATGTCAGAGGAACAACTTGACTAGGAACACAAAAATAAAAAAAATAAAAGCATTTTCATGAGCGATTAAGTCATTAAACCCCAACATAACACAAAATGGCATAATAAAGGATTTCATCAGTTTTTCCCAGTTCATTCTCCTAAAGCTGCGGTGTAGCACTGACAAACCTGATGCATCAGAACAGCTCATGGGTTGCTAAACCCTTTGCGGATACGACAATCTCACCCATTTTCCGGCTCTCATCCAGGCCCTTCTTGTGCGGCGGCTCCTGGATGATCTTGTCTACATCGGCTCGGCCCACCAGCTCCTCGGGCCGGTCCCACATGGAAAGGCGAGTGGTGGGGTTGTAAAAGAACACCCTGTCATCCCCAGTCCACACCACACACCTGCAAGCACACAAAGCAGGAGTTGGAAATTTCAAAGACATTTCTCGGTGAGCACATGGAAACAAAAGGAACAGCCTATAATGCAAGATAGCAGTATGAAACGGAAGCCTAAGAAACACAAGACTTGCTACATACTGAATCACTGGCTTCATTTATTGTTTTACTGGCATGTTCTGATGCTGGATTACTGAAAACTCAGACCTAAAGATAGTATAGTTCACATACCTTCTATTTTCCCATCTATCGAAGATTATACAGCAGCCAAACTCACTAGTCTATTAGTCAGTTAGTAATTGATATGAGAATTTCAATGGTTGCAAATCAAAATTAATGGTATTTCTAAAAACACATACTAAGTTATGGTCATTTTGGACTAAATCAAGCCAGGCTTTCAAGGTTGGGTTAAAACGTTAAATCACCTCTAAAAAAAGAGCATGTAAAGGAAGATGAACAAAGGCCAAGCCCTAGCCCTCCTGAAAGAGGTGTCTGACTAGGGCCAGAGGGCGTGCATGCCCAGACAGGATGGGTCTTCCTCAGAAAGGCCTACCAGGGTGTTCCTGGGATGGGGGACGTGGCCACAGGCTTCGCTTTCTGAGCTGCTTTCTCCTCCTCCGTCATCTCCTCCTCCTTCGGCTCCTGAAGGACACAGTGTCACAAAGGTGAGGAGGGCAGCCCCACATGCCCTTGCTGGCATGGTGGAGTCGAAACATGCCCTGTTCACCACATGCCCCAATTCCCAACTTTCTGAGAAGCACCATGTCTTCCAGATGGACTCAATAATGTCCCTCAGCTTGAAACAAATCAGAATCCTTAACAATTTACACACATTAGACCTCTCCAGTGCTGCAGCTGAAACTAGGTGACGAGGGATAAAAAAAACAATTTATCGTTTTAAATTTACTTCAGATTAACTTAGTCAGTTCTACTATTTCTAGTCATCTCCAGCACTTCTGTGCAATGTACAGGAATTACGGACGTCACTCTCCATAATAACAGTACAAAATTAAACTAAAACAATATAAATAAAGCTATGGATATAATATTAAATGTAAGACTGTACATTAGCAGGGCAGCCATTAGAAATATCAAAGCAAACCCATTTGTCTGCTAATTGTACATGCTGGTGGGATTGGTGGTGACAAATGTCTGTTTCTGAGTGCCCCCTGCAAACATGCAGTGACATGAGTCTAGGACAATACACTTCCTATAAAAAGCTGCATTTTATTTCAAACAAGAGGAAAAGTACCCTCAGCTAAGGAATATAGAAAGATACAAATAAAACGAGGCCATTTGCTCCAGCCAGCTTGTCTGATAGAAGGCAGTTTTTCCTTCAACATCATCAAACAATCTACACCTGCACCATCAACAATATAAAAATGAAATATCATCTAATGTTTTTATTATATAAAATTTCCGATGCATTATGGGTTAAACAAGCTTTGGGAACTCAGAATTCTATCTGCCACTTCTATGGGGAAATACTTTTGCGCTGTGAAAAAACAACCCGCTTTTAACCTGCAGGGCCTTCCTAGATTAATTTTGCGTATCAGCCTATTAAATAGTAAATATACATTAATAGAGATTTTCTGTTGTAATAATTACAAAGTCTTGCTGCGGAAGCTGAAAGCATACTTTTTCCCCAGTCATAACCAAGTCAGTTAGCTTACTGAGGGGCTGGCTAGGACTATGACCTAGGATGGCTGCTTGAACAGGAGTAGGACCAGCGTGCAAAGACATTTCTGATTGAGGATTGGCTCTTACCTCTTTGATCTCTTTTGGGGGCTCAACTTTAGGCTCCTCCTCCTCCATGTCCATTGGCTCAACCTCCTCCTGCGCCTGTTTCCCGGGCTCTTTGGGCTTCTCTGCTTCTTTTTCTACCATCGGAAACACTGGAAAAAAAAACAGGTTTTCTTGAAGAAAGAAAACCACTATGTATTACGCACTGATGAAACATGATGATTCACACAATATGGGTACAGGACTATGAGCACTAAGAAATCCATTTAACAGAGCCTCAGCAACAGATCATATTCGCATGAACACTAAGTGACATTAGATGACAAATGTTTTTATGGCTGTTCAATAGATTAGAAGCCCCTATGAAGGACTAGCTGATACATCGTGGTGCACATCAGACTACTGTAGCAGAAATCCTTAAATATTTACAGGAGAATAGACCAAATAAAAAAAGAACTAGCAGTCCAAATAAGTTCTGGAGAGCTTCAATTCTTAAGGTTCTGTATATAACTGAATATCATTCAGAACTGAAGATCTGGAGACTATGATGACGTAGATCCATCAAGTCAAAAATGGATTCAAATACATCATTAAGAGCTCAGACAGCCAGGGCCTCTGGAGTGAGGAACACGGCTCTACAGGCTGTGCGTGTAGGACGCCTGACACCAGCTGCCGGGCCATACCTTTCTCTTTCAGCTCCTCGGGCTTATCCCAGGTCGACTCCAGGGTCCTGTTGTTGTAGTAGTAGGTCTTGCCATCCGCAGTCTTGTACTCTGACCACTCCGAAAGGGGCAGCGCCCCCGCGAGGGCAGCAGGGGCCGCTGCGATTGCCACCTGGGGGTGCATCATTGGCACTATGGGAGGAGCCATGCCTGGTAGGACACCTGGGAAAGGTCAAATATCGCAAGGGCTCCCATTACAATTTCTCAGTCCGAAACCATTTCACAGAGCCCCACCCCGCCCCCCCCCCACCTCCAAAACAACACACAGGAAAGTACAGCTTCTACAGGACCAAGGTTTACATTTACAAAAAAGAAAATCCAATCACTGTGCCACACACTGTTGCTGTGATGTATTCATGTACTAAAGTAAAAGGCCCAATCTGATGATTATATGTTGTCCTATATGTTTTTATTTCTAGCGGTGCATGTTGTATTAGATTTTTTCTACTCTAACAGTAGTTTGCACATGCTTTTGTACAGGTTAGCTGGCTGTTTCAATAGGACAGCCAAATACATAAGCAGAGTGAACTGGTTGAGACCCAGATTTGGGACAATTGCTGTGCATCAATATTGGGATACATAAAGTGTTACAAGCTTTCTGACAAAAATAAGTTTATAAAATAATACCCCAGCTAACTTGTGCTAAATGTTTTGAATATTAAAAATGACTAGCGAGATCTCTTTCTTCTATGTAAGACTAATTATACCGAAAGCATATATATATATATCTGCTTTATTTTTCCCCCCCAATAAGGAGCCAGATTGTTTAGAGCTATACATTTCACACTTAGGTATTAAACTGTCACATTCCCTCTTAATGAAAAGTGCTCTAGTGAACACGCATGCTCTTCTGTTGATAACTAAGCTTAATTGTTCTTCACATTTCAGAAGGACAGGTAACAAAGAAATAGCTAGAAACTTCAGGATGTCAGTAACAGTAACCACACTAAAGCATGCCACAACGAGATGTTACTCAACACATGATTAAAGCTACATCTAAAGAAAACACAATCTCAAAGCAAAACAAAGGCTAATACCTACATGACATCAGGATCATAAGTTACCACAACAGCAACAATAAGAGTGATGGATATATACAGAAAATCTAGTAGGCTAGCTGATCAAATGTGACAATAACAAAACAGTATCAACCTGACTAGCTATAACAGAGGAGATCCATCTACCCATCTGGATCAGAAAACCAGGTATCAAAGTATCAAAAAAGATGGGTTAAGACACCTGAAGCCTAAAGTGGGCAATTCATTCATGGAATTGTCAAATAAATAATTTATCTTCAAGAAAGGGGCAACTATACTGTAAATATGATAAAAACCTAACATTTGCTACCTCAAAGCTTTGAAACAAGAACTAAGCACTGTTTCCATCAGTTTCTCTCTACTCATTTGAATATCTCTCTCCCAATCGCAGCAGAGTGCTGCCTATCCCCAACACTGAACGAGAGAGAAGGGAAACTCATGAAGAACAGCAACTAGAGCTGAAACGGCAATAGGACTCCCATCTGAGCCATTCCAGGTTTTAGAAACTTTAGAAGTTTAAGAGTCAACACCAGAAGCTGTACGTTTAGCATAGCTTCCGATACAAGACAGGGCGGACCGACAAGATGAGGCTGATGAGTCTGTCCGCTGACCAAGGGCCATGTCTTGGAAGTATTAAAATGCACATCTGTGATGAGTCAAACCCAAAACGGAAGAAACTGCTGAGCAACCTGGCAGGCTTGCTGGGTTTAAACCATGAAAAACAATTCAACTTCTGATCTGCATCCCACTGACAAAGAATCTGTATTCTGACCTCTAAACCACCCATTTTCAAATTCAAATGGAAAGACCTGTGCAATATTGCTAAAGTACTTGTATTTGAAAAAAAAATGCATAGAAAATATTTAAAATTGATAATGGGGCAACCTGATGACCTGTTGATGGGCAAAACACAAACTGTTAGTGGTTTAATTTTAAATATGGGGTCTTAACACTAAAAAAAAAATGCTCTGACAATACTACTGCTTCTGTGGGTATTGTGTGAGTGATTATGTATGTAAATATAAAAAGCATAGTTCACAACATTCACTAACATGCCAACTAACAAAGAATACTGACTGGAGATGTTTTAAAGAATTACCGTTTTTGTTGGGAGCGATTGTCTTTATATAGGGGCAGCTGACTATCTGCATCATTGCTACACCTGCAAGAACGGACAAGCAAGCATATTGGATACAGAAATACGTCAGCTGCCAAGACAGGTTAAAACACCTACATGGGTATCTCATCACCTTGCTAACAGGTTAGACATGCAAACTGTGGCTTTGCTATACACACACAGAGTTTATGAACATCTCTGGTAAAATCTTACAGTCCTCTAACCAGAAGGCCTTTACATTCGCAAGAATAAAAAGTCCTTGTTTCTTATTTTAAAATAAAATTAACAGCATTAACTCTTTTACAGAAAAAATCTCTGTAGTCTAGCATTAAGACAGTTCTGCTGACAAATTCTTGATGCCACTGAAATTTCCAGGTCTTTGGATTACAGAGAGGGAAGACAACAAATTTGGCCTCTTTCATAGTCTAAGCCTTTGCAGAAAAAGACATACATGATTCGCAAAATCACGATTTCTTCAAACCCTCAATACGATCTGAATGTAGGGCATAAATTCTTTCAGTTTGGTTCACTAAAATGAACACCTTCAACCCTCAGAAACTGTCACAGCCTGCCTCCTAGTGGTATCTTATACAAACCTTCCCTTCCTGTACTACTTGAAGACCTAAGGTAATTCAGTAAAACTCTTACAGCCCACATGGAACATGGGCAACTAGAACATCAGGATGACTAAATCTGCAGGATCATACCCTAGAGATGAATTTGCACAGAACACAAGAAGCATAACCTTTCTCTTATGGTCAAACTCAATTCAACCTTGGCTAGGTTGTGTTATAAAATTCACAATGGGGGTGGGGGGGGTGGATAAAAATTGAAAATAATTACCTAGAGTTTCTCTTCCGTCCAGTGTGATGTGTAATCACTGACAGGTTGAAAATGGTAAAGTGATACTTTATAGCATAGCGATTTAAAGAAAAAAAGGGACACAGTGTGGATGTAAAGTGGAGGAGATGTTACTGTAACACAAAGCACCAATTAAAGAATTGTTACGGCAGCACACACCTCTGCCTTGGCCATTGTGTACAAGGTAACAATTCTCTAACAAGTATGACGCGCTCTCCTAGTGTCAGACACAAGGACCCTCAACACACCGGCCTCACAGCAGAACCAACCTCTTGCCCAGAAGCGCACACTGTCATCAGCTAAGCTCCAGCACGTTCACAAAGATGCAAAGTATAGGAGTCATTCGGCTGCAGAAGCTAAATGCAGGATGAAAGCAAGGTGTGGGCCTGAGGGCTCCAAAACCTAGGAAGGGCTGTAATAGAGGCAGGGTGGGAGTTCTGAAATGTCTCCAGAGCACTTTCCTGGGCATAGTTATTTCCTATCTTCAGGATGCTCTTCAGCTTGTGCACTCAGGAACTTTTCGTATGGTGCCTCTCACAAAAAACATGATGAATGGAAGGATACAAGCTTCCATATGCATGTATCTAAAACTTGTCTTGAATGTAGTAAGGATGTGAAAATTCCATTAATGTTCTTAATGTTCTGATGCTTCATATGTTCCGATTTTCGGGAAGGCACAATATCCTTCCTCTACTGTGCCTATTATGAGCTACAGCTGTCCACATGTGTTAAATATGGGCTGTGCGGTGGCCCTGTGACTAAGGATCTGCGCCTGAGGCTGAAAGGTTGCCGGTTCGTATCCCGCGGCCGGCAGAGAAATCCTACTCCGTTGGGCCTGAGCAAGGCCCTCATACCCCCAACTGCTCCATAAGCACCCTATAAATGGCTGACCCTGCGCTCTGACCTCAGCTTCTCTCCCTGTCCGTGGGTCTGTGTGTCTCAAGGAGAGCAAGCTGGGGTATGCAAAAAGAAATTCCCGATACAAGAACGTGTATACGGCCAATAAAGTGATCCTAAATCTTACAAGAGTTTCTCTCTGCGTCAGAGGGAATCCAAAGCAGACAGGACATCACATAAGGCCAATTCCTCACTGTCCAAAAAGCTATTAAGTCAGAGATCAGTGAGGATGCTAACTCTGAGTGCTAGTTCTCTCTTAAAGGGAGGAGACAACGCTAAGCCAAGTCCCCTGCTTACCCTTTCACATTTATCATGGTGCTCACAATGCTGGTACTATGAGAGTTAAGGGGTCAGAGGAATGAGGCAAAAAAAGAATACCTTCACGTCACAAGGAAGACAGCTCCTGAAACATTCCTGCAGCTTTGGAACACCATTAAACTCCAGATGCTAAACTGTCAATCAACACAAGAAATGTGAAGCATCTCTTAAAATACAGCCCTTTTCTGACTGACTGGCAGTCTGAGTACACCCAGGAGAGTGCCTTTAAGTAGTTCAGGACTGTGAGCAGTATCAACAACGCGAGAAAAACACTGGTTTGCCGACAAACTGATCATATGAAACGACGGACAGAATGCATAAAGAGGACAGTGGCGTCTAAGCGTGGGAGAGGTACAGGATGCAGGAATGACAGGGACCACGAGACTGGGGACAGCGCAGAGCTACAGACGGACCTACCAGGCAGAGGGATGGGCATGCCAGGCAGGGGCACTCGGAACGGAGGCACCATGACGGGCGGGAAGGCGGGGATGGCAGCGGTGGGCTGCGGCACTGTGTGGGGCAGCGCCGTCGGGAGGCTCTGGGGCAGGGCCTGCGGCACGGCCTGCACCGGCGTCACCGTGGCCGTGGAAACGCTGACAGCCGCCGCCGCCGCGCTGCTGGGGGCCGTCACCGCGGGGCTCATCTCCGGGGCAGCAGAAGCTGGGGACACAGAGAGACCCGCATTCCAACCACGAGCACCAGAAAACCCTGCACGGATCCACCAGAACGGAACCCGACCTCCGATTCAGGCTCAACACAGAGGACCAAGATCCTGAAAGCGAGGTACATTCGGGATTGAAGACTAAACCTGCTCCTTCACACAAACCAGAAGGTGAACGAGGATTCACTGGAACCTTTCCAACAACTCCCGAGGTCCCAGAATCAATAAGCGACAGATAACTGGATAAACTCTAATGCAGGGGGAAGATAAACAACACTCTAATACCCTTGCACACAAGAAAAGAATTAAGACTGGGCACAGGTGTCAATGACAGTGCAAGTGAACCCCTCTATCTCAAAGCCTAAAGGTAAACGTTTATTCTGTAGTGAAGGGAAAAGAAAAGAGACCCAGTGTTTTGGCTGTGGAGACTTCATCATCATGTCTCTTTTTATTTCCTTTCAGTATGGAATAAACCATTTACCTGTTCCTCTGCACCTTCCACATGCTGATGCGGCTACCTACTCTCTTGCTCTTAATTACACTGGATGCATTGCCACTTCGCCTGCCAAAACCACAGTACGTTACCCTCTACTCTGCATCAAATCGGGCAACACAGCTGTTTAATGTTTAATAATTTAGGATTCAGGCCTAAATCAACACGTCATGTGTACTGCTATTACTTTCTAATATTCCTTCACACTGGACTTGAGGAAAGCAGCTGAAAAGCGGCGTGCTAAGCCGGGGTACACTGGAGCCGCAGAGAGGCGGAACCTCACCGGCCACGGGCTGCGAGACGGCGGGGGAGGAGGTGGTGCTGCAGGCGGTGCTGGTGGCCAGCGCGGTGGAGGCGGGCTGCGTGGACACGGGGGCGGCCGCGCTGCTGGCGG